AAAAAAAGAAAGAAGGTAACAGTTGAGTGCAGTCTGAGGTAGGACCTCCAGGATTCGTCTTTCATCAGTAAGTTGGACTCGAATGCCCATTACTGCTTATTCCATGTTTAATTACAGGTCCTCAAAGCCTCAGAGAGGTTAACCTTTAAGTTGTAATGAGTTTCACCATCTAATGATGTTCACTAATGCATTCCAATGCAACACTAAGGGGAACAGCTTAAGCAGGTTTACTGGTAATGAGCAGCGTTGAACAGATGTGTTAAGGAGAAACAGAATACAGGTGTTTTATTTCATATTTCATTTCTGTTCTGAGCTGAATCAAAACTGCAACACATCCAAAGACATCCGTGTGCAAAACACTCATTTGGATCTACAAGAGCTGCCAAATACTATTGTCCCGTCACCCCGACTCTAATTATTTCAGTTCCACCTGATTAGTGATTCTGGCAATTCATCTAAATCTTTGTCATTAATCAGTTTGTAAAGGTTACACGGGGGAATTTCCTTCACGAATTGCAAATGAACATGGCAGCTTAAAGGACAAAGGAGAATTTTAATACAAAGGGCAATCTAAAGATTGTTTGGAAGCTGAATGGCAATGAATATTTTAACACCAGAGGAACAGACAAAATGTTAACGCTATCTCTTTACATGAAATATTAGCTTGTTGACTTATGAGTGGAGCTATTTTGTTCTGTTACATAATGAAACATCTGTTAACATATTTCAACACCTGTTGTGCGAATGTATATTAAGCCATCAAGGTGAGCTGTGCTTATGCCTGATAGACTTCTCCGTACAAGACTTGAGTAATGAAACACTGTCCTGCTATTAAGGAGAGTCAGCATGACTTCCTCTGCCCTCCCTCTAGTCTGCTAACTCATAACCAGGCTTGTCGATCTGCTGGAAACACAGTGAGCACATCAATAATAAGGGCCGTGTGGAAGAGGACCAAAGGGTTTCACAGGTCATATTTCATGAAAAGTTCACAGTGACACAGATGGAAGAAGAGAAGGAGAAATAGGGTGTTGGAAGGTGTTGCAGACAAAGAAAGGAGACTGTCTGGAAGAAATGGGACGGAATATGGTACAACACAGGAGGAGAGACAGAGGGCAAGGAGGAAGGGGGGAAACGATGGGGAAGGGGTGTCGGGAGAGAGAAAAGGGAGAGTTTACAATTCATGACAGAAGGGCCATACTTACTGTAGGGAACACACTCATACTGGACCTCCAGGTATTTGTAGGTCCCTGGGCAGGGGTCGGGGAAGACATCTGAACCCGTGATTACAATGCACTGGGTCCGATTGTTGCATCTGACGAGAGAAAACACAGGAGAGAAACATTCACTGCTTTGTTCAAATTCATCCAGTCTCAAACTGGCAACTGAAGGAAATCCCAGAAAGTTGACTGTGTTCTCAGTTTGACAGGGACAGAATCAGCTGTCTGGGATTTCCTTCCCCGGGTGATTAAGCGTGTATCGAGACAAACCGAAGGACATAAAAGCATAAATATTAAAACGCTGTGTGCCGGTTCTTTTCAACGGCTCTTAACTCATGTTCAGGCTGGAAATATTCAAATTCTATCAACAAAGAAATAAAAAGAGTAACGCTCAGCAAGATGTAGCCATGCTATTGAATCTGCGCGCAACAAAGATATGACCAGTTCCAGTGCTTTTCAATCTGTACATGCCTATTGGATCTTTGCCATCAGGTTCATATAAAAGAGGTCTTTTGTGTTTTGTGCTGTATTTCTTTTAGAGAGTGGATCATCTGTCTGAATGTGTATGTGTCAAGGAAAAATCCAGAAGCCTCTCTTGTATTTTTAGTCCCTTAACATAACACAGCATCACCTGTCTGCTATA